TTCTTTTCATTTTATTTCCTAATTAGGAATTCTTAATCGCAATAATAAAAAACTGTTATATATAGTCTTGAATATATATATTTTTCGTTTGTTTATTTTTTTTTTTTTTGCTTAATAACAATTATTAAGCAAAAAATAATAATATTCAAAAATAAATTTTAGAGTTTATTAACTTTATTTTAAAAATATATATTTTTCTTTTTATATTTAACAACAGTTTTAATGACAAGATTTGATGGCTATATTATTTACGGATTATTAGGGTTTGGCGATAAGACTATTTTGCTTTCTTCTTGCCCCTGCGATTTGTATATTTTACAAATACGAGAGTTGTAATTATTTTAAACGGCAAATTTATAATAATAATAATAAAAAAAAAGATAGTATATTTATTGTATATATTTCTAGTGTAGTAGGAATCTACTAATCTTTCTATGAAAAAGTTTGTAATGGAAGATGATAAATTTTTATTTAAGGAGTCAAAAAAAAAAAGGAAAAAAAAAAAGAGGGAGCATCCCTAATTTTTTCTATTTTTTTTTGAAAACCAAATTGAAAATCATTGAATACATAACTTTTTCAAGAAGCTTACTAATGTTAGATAAAATAAAAATAAATCTATAGTTAGTGCATGAAAGTTTAGAGCCATTTTTAAATATTGGAATAACGCAAGATAATTTAAAATTATCAGGAAATGTTCCATTTATGTATGAGATAATAAATAGTTTAGATAAAATATTTGAAAATCCATGTTAAAATCTATAAGAATGTTTGTGGGAATGCTGTTTAGACTTAACGATTTTTTTGGATTCAATTTAGATATAAGAGATGAAATTTAAGGAATATTTGTTGGAAATAATAATAAACTCCAACAAATATTCCTAAAATTTCATATAAAATATTCTTTTTAATACGAAGTTTAAAAAAAAGTTGTTATTTTCGTTTTGTTATTTATTATTCAATGTTTTTACTATATCTTTAAATTTTAAAATATAAAGATTAGGCGTTTAAGTACTGTCTCTATATCGTTTTCTTTTTGTTTACGAAACAAATGGTTACAAGCATAGTCTTGAGGCATTTTAATGCGGTTGAACTTCCATCAGTTTTATACTTCCGTAATATTACTCTATTCGCGTCAAAATTATTTTTTACAGACTTACTGAGAGAGTGGGTCGGTGCTGTAAATATACGTCCCCGTTCCCGATGTGCGGATCTACTAAAACAAAATAAATAAAAAATAAAAAAAATAAAAAATAAACTATGAATAGACTGGGGTTTGAACTCCCACACTTTTTTATTGAAACAAACTGCATTAGCCATTTAGCATTAACTTCTCATACGATCGTTAAATTAAATTTATGTTGTTAAATTTGTGACTTTATGTATCTATACGTACTTTATGGACGAACCCTAAATAGTGATTAAATTTTCGATTATATTGATATTTTTTGTACGAAACACTGTCTACATGAAAAATAATAAGGAAACAAAAGTATTATTATAATATTCTTGATAACATAAAATCACCCATCCTGTATATTAGGATTATTATAATATATTCTATATTGTATTATTAAGAGGTTTATTAAAAAGGTTATGTAAACAACTATTGCAATATTGTTGACCTATATTAATAAATAACAAACCTCTTACTCTCAGATAATGTTTAAAAGCACATTGTAAATGTAGTTGGATCTGCTTTATCTCCGAAGCTTGAGCCACTTCCTCATTATAAAATACTGCCTAGCCCTGCCAAATTTTACAATTTTGTCGAGACTGGGACTGGGTTTAAAATGTAGCTCTAGGTGGTTGGCTAGATGAAAATAAACTAGATGAATAAAAGTTTTTATAGTATCGAGAAAAAAAACAAAAACAGTTAAAGAATGAAAATTTGTTGAATGACAAGCCAAGTGAGGTTAAGTTTTGATTGATCGAACTAGAGTTGATAGCTCGTTTGAGCAGCAACTATAATGTATTTATAGAAAAAGTAAACTGATAAAATCTAAGAACAATGAGAGAGTGACTCAAACCTGGTAGATAACGTAGGCCCAATTAAATTTACAATGCGCTTTTGGACCTTGTATGAGAGTCAGAGGGTTATTATTCTTCAATATGGGAACGTTAACAACGTTGCGATAGTTGTTAGCAGTAAATAAATAATTTTTGTTGGAGTTAAAATCCAAAAACCACTGTTAGTTCCAAGCTGTTACCGAAGCGAGATCAGGTTAAAGATCGGCTGCTTGTTTTAAGCGATCAAAATGTCAAGAACATTATTGTTGAAGACTAAATACGATACAAATCAAAGATAGAACCTTGCAGTACTCCTAAAGTTACTGGAAATGAAGAAGATTGTAGCCCTTCGTGAATGAATTTAATTCTGCCGTTAGAGAGAAATAAGTTAATATTCTTAAAACTTTTATATGAAGAAAATAACACTAGAGAGGAGACTAATCATAGAATAGTAAGACTTCAGTTATACATGATACGTTTTAAAAATTTTCCAAAAGACTCTGGTATATCTTCAACAGTGAGATAAAATGCAAGATTTACTGAGAATAATGGAACTTAACATCAAAACTTTTTACATTAACTTAATAAAAATTTAATAAATAATGGTTTAATATAGCAACTTCAAAAGAAAGTGAAAAACGTGAAGTAGAATAATATAAACATATTTGTTTGCTATTTATTTAGATGTTGAGATAAATATGCTTACATATATGTATAAACGTTATTATTTATATGTTATAGTATTTGTCGAAAAAATAAGATGAAAAATCAGGTAGATGCTTGGTAAGACTCTTACAAAACAAGAAAAGGAGACATAATCTTAGACAGAGATTAAAAGTTGTACCAATCAAATTTTGTCAGAGATGAATAAAGTGATTTGGGTATCAACATGTAGAGAGGTAGCAATTTCAGGAGAAAATGGTGGAGATAAATGTAAGAAAACTTGGAGAGAGTGCATTACATATGGTATAAACAAGCTTTAGTTATATTAATTTTTTTTAATGTAAATTTAGTTTTATTTACTCAATTAAAAGGAGATTTAAAATCAATAAACCATATACAAATAGATTAATTAGCAAACTTTCTTAATATTAATATACTAATAATATACTAAGTAAATTTTTTTTATAGATTGTACACTAAATTAAATAATGAAAAGAGTATAAAAATATTACAACAAAGTACAACAACAAAAATTTAATGTTAATCACTTTAATCATTTTTTTCATTTAAACACGAAAGTAGTCAAAACAAATTTATAATTACTTGTTCACTGAATTGATATTTCTTAATCTAGTTAAAATTGTTTAAAAAAAATTTATGAACATATGATCCAATAAATCATAAACACTAACACAAAACTTTAAAAAGTGCACAATTTAAAGTCCTTGTCAGCAAAAGAGAGAGAAAAAATTGATTTTTTTTCTTACCTATTCTTACCTATTTAGTATTATTTAAAGACTATTTGAAAAGTTAAAAGAAAACTTTTCAAAGAGTCAATCTAGAATGTTTTTAGAATCATTAAACCGATAATAAAAAGTTTTTCATTTTAACAAAATTATTTTGAAATAAATACAAAATTTGATGCTGTAAATGATAAAGTTTAAAATTAAACAAAAGTTTTAAAAATCTTTTCATCTTATATTTTTTATTACAAACATAAAAAATTTAAAATTTTTTATAATTACAAGGTACGGAGATATAGCAAACCTCCGCAAGATGCTTTATATATAAATTTAATATATAAATACATTGACAAATCGCGGAAAAATTTAAGTGACCTACTATAATGAAAACTGCCCAATTTTGTTTTCAAAACGCTTTTCATTGCTCTCTATTATTTAAAAATGACTGCAGTCGCAGGCAGGGCCGGCGCGAGTAGGTGTCACGTGGGGGAGGGGGGGTGCTATTACAACTTTTGCTGACTGTCGAACCTTTATCGAAATGGTCGACATTTGCCGACTAACTAGTCTAAAAAGGTCCGATTTGCCGACTAAGGGTCCAGTTTGCCGACTAAAAATCATTGATGGGGGGTGTCACACCCCCCTATCGCGCCGGCCTTGTTTGCAGGGTACGCATTCTTTTATTAGTAAAAAAACAATATGTAATATTATGCTATTAAAATTATTATTAAAAATAGATTCTTTAATAAAAATAACTTTCAAACTTGTAAAAAAGTTAAAAAAAAAGTTAAAATTTTCTGATTTTTTTACTCAGATATTTCCTCTCAAACTTTAAATGTTCAATGAAACCTTAATTTTTTTTATAAAATCAAATATTATAATCTTCTAGAAGCCAACATTTAGTTTTTATTTAAACTTTGATTATGCTTTTAAGTTTGTAGTAAAAACTACAAAAGCTCATGAAGCTCATTGAACTTAAAAAAGTGAAGGGGAAAAGCAGTGGCGGAACTTCAAAATTTGCCCCCCCTCCCGCAAAAGAATGTTTTATTTGCGGAAAAGAGTTTTATAGTATAAATATTATTGAGAGTATAACTTTTTTTATATGAGGGCCCCCTATAGCTGGTAGGCCCCTCCGCAACGCAGGGTCCTGCGTCCAGTAGTTCCGCCACTGGGGAAAAGAAACTTAACATAAGTTAAAAGGAGGTGAGAGTTACAACTTCTTAAAGCTATTTTCTATTATTATTCACATTATAAAACGACTTCAAAAAAATATATATATTATTTTTACCATTTCTATTTATAAATAATTATTTAACAATACATCTAATTAAAAATATTTTAAACATTTGATTAAAAATATTTTTTTTGAAAACGATTCTTTTTTTAAAAAAAAGCGAAGACAAAAAATAAATTTTCCTATAAAACTAATATATTATAATATATATTTCCTATACTAATAAATTTCAAAAAAAAATCAGTAGCTATGTATAATTTTAAAGTACTATATAAACTATTAGGTTAATTTTAATTTTTCAAAATTTAAAAGAATTTTCTTCAACAAGTAAAAAATTAAAAAAAAGTCCACTAGTCTGCATAGGGTCACACTATATTTGGGAGTCTTTAAAAATCTTTTTAAAAAAAAAAATTATTTTTTAAGTAAAAATTGATCTATGAAATCGCGTTGTTCTTTTTCTAACTTGAGTAAAGAGTTATAATGTAAACTACATTGCTCATATTGCACTTGCTTCTCTCCTATTAAGGCACGAAGCTGTTGATGCTGGGATTCACGTTGCTTGGTCATCGATTTAAGCAAATTTCTCGAGCCAATAGCCCGAACCTTTTCTTTTTCAACTTCAGCAGCTATTTCATCAACTGTTTTAATAACATCATTAACAATAGTTTGAAACTTAAAAATTTTATTTACAAACTCTTGGCATTCATTTTTAAGTTCATTGGTTTGTTCATTTACCTCAGGTTCAAGTAAACGAACTTTGCACATTTCATCAAAAAAAATTTCTGAATAAGTAGGCATTGATTTTTAATGATCCTAAAAAATTGTGAAATATAACTTAATTACAAAAATAAACAACCATTTCACCTGATATTAAATAAATTAAAAATAGAATTTAGTTGCAAAAATAAATACCTATATCACCTGATACTAAAAAATTGTGAATTATATCTTAATTACATAAATAAACACCTATATCACCTGATATTAAATAAATTTGAAATAGAACTTAGTTGCAAAAATCAACATAAAAACTTACATTTTAGAATTTTAAAATTATTAAAAAAAAAAACACAAAAACAGGAGGTATAATTTAATGTAAATCCTCAGAAATAAATAATTAAATTATACACCAATTATATATATTAATATTATTTTTAAATTAAATTTTATAAATATATAATTTAATGTCCTCCACATGTGATAGCCACACTTGAATAATGAGATGACTTAATTGTAGGCCATGTATAACTATGGTGTTTATAAAACTTAATTGATATAAGTATTACAGCAACATGTACCACAATAGCCCCACAAGGCCCACAATACCCACACAAGGCCAGCATTTATGCCATTCCATATATTAAATGCAGTAATATTAACATAAAAATGCAAATAACATTATTGGTTTATAATCTGATGCAATAACATCTGTCAGAACTGAAATATTTATTATCAAATTATCAATTGGAGGGTTTGGTGGGCTTCACAGAATGTAATCTAACCAAAAAACATCATTTCTATTGTCACTAATATATGTAAAAGTGTTAATTCTATGGTTGACATTAGATTTAATCAGATTATTTTCTGTTGCAGGATTTGAAAACTCGACAAAAAAACATCAACTCACAATTGAAATCATCAGGAAAAATAATCTGGATAATAACTGGCACAGCTATAATAGACATTTTACTTTTGAACATAAATAAATGTAATTATGGAGATTTATGCTCATCATTATAATTTGTTAGCATTTATACTATCAACAATTTATTATCAACAATATAGGACCAATATTTTAGACAATTTTAAACACATGATTCTAGATTCGTGAGTTTCAATAATTTGAATACTTTAAGCAAGATTTTTACAATATAATATGGCTGTACCACCATATATTCCAACCATTATATCTGATAAAATAATCACAGTAGAAAAGCCAATTCCATAATAATTATTATGAAAATTGTTTAATTTAGTTAAGCTCAATAACCAATGCTCTTGGAACATAATAAATTCATACTCAATATTCATACTCATATTCTTTATAGCAAAAACACTTTTAAAGGAGCAACACTTGAAAGAACAAATCAATAAGCTATTATTGCTGGCTTATTTAAAATATTGATAAGCTATTCTTTTTTGGTCCTAAAATATCTTCTTACAAGTAGACCATTTGTGTAGGCTTCAGTAGACATTGAACAACCTGCTTTATTTTTTAACTGAGAATGGCCAACAGATGCAGATATATAATATTAAGAGTATCCAAGATATTTAGAATTAAACTTCTTACATACAGAGTAATCTTTTTTATATTGCAATAGTATAGTATATACTGTTGTTTCTGATTGTTTTTGTACAGGTTGTTCTTCAAGTGAGGATAGTCAGCATTATTGAAAGTATCACTGCTTTTAACATTTTTATGAACATGTTGAATTTGGTTTTTGTTAAACACATGGTGGTTCATTGTATTCATCATAATTTTCATTTCATTCTAAAAACTTAAAAATTGTTTTACTTCTGATCTAAGATAAGTAACTTTCTAGAGCAAAGCTTTAATATCAATGTTTTCTGACCCAACAAGGGGCAATCTAAACGAATAGGGTCTAGAAGCACCTTTAGCATATTTTCCGCAGTTTTCTTATATTTATCACTTCCTTGTTACAATATACTTTTCAGAAAGAAGTTCACACATAACTGCTTTAGCTTCAACTATTTCTTCCTGTCTTCCTCAAGTCCCAAATAATTTGAAAATTGCTATCTAAACTTAATAAATAAATTCATTTTTGAAAAAACAAAGAAGTTTATTACAAACATTGCTCAGAGTGCTGCCATCTGAAGCAATTAGTGTGGAGGCTACCACCCTAAAACAGTAAAGAATCTACTTCTTATTAATATATACATTATTAATACAAAAAGTGAAAAAAAAGTTTTTTTCCACACACACACACACACACACACACACACACACACACACACACACACACACACACACACACACACACACACACACACACACACACACACACACAGAGTTAAACAGTCTGACATAATACTGAAATAGCCAGCTGCAGGGGGGCTTTAATACATACATAGACTGACAATTAGCCTGACTTGCAGCCAAGTGTTGCTACATCGACTGAGGTTTGATATAGGGCAGCAATCTTTTCTTTTATTATTTTTTGTTTTTTTCTTCTTTTTCTGAAAATTCATATTTAATGTAACAAAAATATGGTAACAATTTGTTACATAAATATGCTATAGTACATATATATATATATATATATATATATATATATATATATATATATATATATATATATATATATATATATATATATATATATATA